GGATGGCGCTGTGCGCTGGTCTGTGAGAGGTTGAGGTGCGGAAGCCCTGGAGGCCCTGGGAATGGGGGGACACTACCCGCGGGCCTAGAAGCCCCGCGCGCAGGGGGGTGGGACATTGAGACCGGTCATGAATGAGTGCGCAACACGCATGTTGCGAGCAGCGTTGTTGATGTTTTGCGCGTCGCCACAGACGGCGGCGCGCGAGAGCTGTTGCGAGTGGTGCTGGGCGAAGCCCCGGGCGCTGCCGGAGGCTGTGCCGTAGTCGGTGCGGTCGACGGCGCTCGGGCTGCCGACCTCTTTGGCGAAGTTGTGAAGATGATTCTCTTGGTCGGCGGCGCGATGCCGCCCTGGTTTTCGACGAGACAAATTTTCACACCAGTTCACCACAGAGGCAGCACCACTTGATGAGGCAATTCTTGATCCGGCCGAGGATTTAAAATCTTTTGGAGGATTGCCGCGAAATCGTGGCATACTTCAAAAGTGTGTATCTCGCGCCTTTGCTTGTTGGTCGGGAGCGGGTACGTAGGAATCGACATGTCCTTCGGCACGAAAAAGAAGAACACGCAACCCGGCTAGCACACATATTCGTTTGTGGCAAAGCGAGACGATCGCGAGGCCTCAAGACCGCCAGCGCAGCGACTGTATTCACCCCTCGATCGCCCCGATCGCCTCCGTCACCGCGGCCACGAGCCGCGACGCCTCCCCCTCGCTGCGCGGCCCGTCCCTCCTCCACCTCGCCGCGTCGTGGTGCCTCGCCGCGTTCGCCCAGATGCGCAGCGAGTGCAGCTGCCTCCGCAGCTCGGTCGGCAGGCCGCACTCGCGGTGCCAAAAGTTGATGCGCTCCTCGAAGCCGTCGGGCGCCGCCGCAGAGCGCGAGGCGTACGCAGCGTCGAGGCACGGCATCAGCGTGTTGAAGGCGAGCAGCATGTTGCCCTGGATGCGCGCCTGCGCGTCGCCGCCCGTGCGCATGCCGCGCACCTGCACCGAGAGCGGCGAAGGCTCGTAGCCGGTGGTGCGGGCGGCTGCCGCAGCGGCCTCGTCTCCAGGTGCCGGCGCAGCCTCCTCCACCCCCGCCCCGCCCTGCGCGCCAGACAGCAGCGCCCGGAGAGCTAGCAGCGCCTCGGGCAGCGTGGGCCTCTTGCGCAGGCTGTCGTGGCAGAGGCTCTTCCCGTCCGCCTTGGCGAGGTCCTTGACAGCGCGCGCCGCGTCGGCTGGCCAGCCCGCGGCCACGTCGGCGAGCTTCGCCGCATCGATGTCGGTCCAGTCCTCCTCGAACTCGTCCTCGCACCGGTCGGTGAGCTGCACCTCGGACCGGTTGGTGAGGCAGACGAGGAGGGTGATGCCGATGGCGTAGCCGTCGGTCTTGCTCGAGTACTCGCCCCCCTTGGAGATGGAGGGGCAGAGGTAGCCCGTGGTCATGTAGAGGGCGGTCGAGCGACAGCGGACAGAGGCGTCGACACGAGGTGAAACGATGTTCCCTCCTCCTTTCCTTTCTTCAGACGTCTGTGTTAGTGTGTGGATCTCGCGATGGTTGCTTGCAACTGAAAAGACCTCCAACCAAGCCCTGGGAGGTGGGTGGGAGCCCTCCCCCTACTGTTGGGGCAGATGAGCTCTGTGTCCTGACTTGCCAACAAGACCTGCAATCAGAGAAAGGGGGACTAAGAAACAAGAAGGTCACCTAGCAGACAGTACGCCGACACGAGCACGCCCGTAGGTAGGTAGGTAGGTACGCCCGCACCTGAGACAGCTGTGAAGGCCCGGGGGCCGTGAACGAGCGGGCGCCAAAGAACGGCTGCGTGGAGGGTGAGTGACGTGACGTGTCGAGGTGCAACCGGGTCACTGAAGAAGGGTCGCTGAGTAGAGTCGCCGGGCAGCACGAGCGAATGGGTATCCAAACACCCGCGGCTCTGCTGATCTGCATCGCGGCGCGGTCCGTCAGGACCGTACACGCTACGCCGGAGGTGCAGCGGCGGCGCAGCGGAGCCGGAGGTGCAACCCGCCGGTGGAGGCCGCTCGTGCTCAATGCAAGCCTTTATGCAGGATGGGTCGGCGAGCGATGCCCGGGCCTCACGCGGCGGCCATGCCCGTTTGCGCACATGGTCTCTGCCGCTCAGGAGTCGGCGCTCTCAACGCGTGAGCTCGGTGCGATGGCATGCCCGCACGAGCCTCGGGCCGCTGGACAGAGGTACGAGGCAGCCTCCGAGCCGTTCGAGGCGATGATCCGGAGCAAAGCTGCGGTGGGCAATGCGAATCGGGAGGGCCGGTCTCCCGCATACGAGCGGCTGCACTGGGTCAGCCTCGCGCGCGAGCACGTCTCGCACGTCGTCGCGCGGCCCAAGGTGTGCGAGATTGGCCTCAACACAGGCCACTCGGCGCTGGCTTGGCTGTGTGCGCTCCCGACTGCGACCTACCACTCCTTTGACCTCGTGCGCTTCGACGTGACCCGCGGCGCGATCCCGCTGCTCAACCGATCCTTCCCGGGACGCTTTGAGCTGACGGCCGAGCAGAGACGCGAGCGAGGCAGCGCCAGAGCACACGGCACATGCCCCACGCGCTCTGGGTGTGGAATAGGCTGGCTCGACGCACGAGACCCTGCCCGCGCTGGCGCGCGCCGCCGCTCCGCCATACTGCGACGTCACTTCCATCGACGGCGACCACAGCTACCACGGTGCGCTGCAGGACCTGCGGGACATGCGGAGACTGGCCGCTCCGGGCTCCTTCGTCGTCATGGACGACCTGTGGTGCGCCGCGAGCTGGTGCGGACCGCCCACGAGGGCATGGACCACGGCGATCCACTCCGGGTGGGTGCGGCAGGCGGGGTGTGAGGTGCTCGGCTGCTGCACGGGCTGGTGCTGGGGCACGTGGCTCCTAGATGTCTGAGGAGGAAAGGTATG